GTGTGTGTGTGTGTGTGTGTGTGTGTGTGTGTGTGTGTGTGTGTGCGTGCGTGTGTGTGTGTGTGTGTGTGTGTGTGTGTGTGTGTGTGTGTGTGTGTGTGTGTGTGTGTGTGTGTGTGTGTGTGTGTGTGTGTGTGTCTGCTCTGTCTTCTCCATCCCCAGTGAGTCGTGGAGGATGGCTGCTTATACTGAGCCAGGATTCTCTGGAGGTTTCTTCCTGTTAAAAGGGAGTTTTCCTCTCCACTGTCGCTGCATGCTTGCTTAGTATGAGGATTGCTGTATAGTCGCTGACACTAGTCAGTGACTCGATGCAATTTGCTGGGTTCCTTATATGGAAACGTTATTTCTGATTGGCTTAATGACCTGACCTGAATTGGAATGTTTATTATGTGAAGTGCCTTGAGACGACTCTTGTCGTGTTTTGGCGCTATATAAATAAACTTGAATTGAATTGAAAATCCTAATTAGGAATTACTTCAAATAATATAATATTAATAAAAATCCACCGTATTTTAGTCTAATTGCTGTAATGTGGGGATTAGAATAAAGATCCTACAGTTACATAAATATGAGGTCATGTGACGCATCTGATGTCGGAACAACTACACCCCACTATAATTAATATTTAAATAAGCAGACTCATTAAAGTGTGATTCCGTGTGTCCTTCCAGTCCGGTGAGAGATTAGAACTGGGCACTAGCTTGCGGCAAACAGATGGCTTTGAAGCAAATGACAGATTATGTGTCAAATTTCCATCTCTGACGCTCGTCCACTTTATCTTCACCTTATTTTATGTTGTTGTTGTGACCGAGTATAACACTTTTACCAGAGTACGGTGTCTTCCAGAGCTGCGGCAAGCTGCTGGACTGTTTTCTGTTTGTTAATGAAATAAAATAAAGTCTCAAAAGATCCTGAGCTAAACGAAATGAACTGCTCCCCCCCCCCCCAGAGGGATTATGTAATAGACTAGGAAGTGACTCTGCAGCCGCTGAAGGTGCGTTGTTGTTACTCAGTCATTTGTGGAATGACTGTCCTCTGCTGGTACCGACTATTAAACGTTCTCCATCTCATGTTGATAAAAGGAAATAAATAATGTTTTTAGAGCTGAAGGTCCAACGCTGCATCCTGGTTGGTTGTCTTTGTACAGAGTTACAGACCTGAGTTACAGTTACAGTTACAGTTATCTGAGCTTTCTTTGTAATTAAACACAATCAGGAGAGTTTTAATTGATTTTATAACGACTTACATGCATGAATTGATCAGCTTGTTTGCTTTGGTTTATTTTCCTTTTGGTGCACTAACTTATTAACCAGCACCTTAAATCTGTAGGGAATCTTACAAACAGCTTGAAATAATGACATTTAAATGAGGATGATGGGGAAATGTTGATCTTTCAAGTATTTAACACATTACGGAGCTAATTATGAATCAAATAAGTAATTTAACCAAATGTTATTACTAGAAAAGATTTAGTAGCTGCTCTGCACTTGAAGGAGTTCTTCTGTTTGGGACGTTGCGTCTGACCAGCTGCAGGATGCAGGTGGAGAGAGGTGGTGGTGCACAGAAACTCCTGCTATGTCGAGCATGAAGTCACATAATAGAGCTTAGAACAGATCATGGTGTGAGAATAAGCAGATCTGTGAGGTGGATGCCTTTGACCCTCTCAGATGGATGGGAATGACATCACTGAGGGAGTGAACTTACATTAGTAACTGATTTTCTAGAAGTCAGAAACAGCTCAGAAACACTTTGGATCCTGAGGTACCCGTCTGGACAACCTGATAAGGGTAATGGTGGCTGTGAAGAACAGGAGGTGCTCTGGACTGAGGAGTCATAGTTGGACATATCTGGCTGCAGGAGGAGCCATGTATTTACTGTCAGGCTGGGAAAAGGTGCAATAATGAGTGTGTGAAGGAAACAGTGAAGCATGGGGACGGTTTAGGCAGCTTCTCTGCAAGTGGAGATTTGGTCAGAATTAAGGGTCTTCTTGGTGCTGGAGGAACACAAGCAGGTACTTATCCACCAGGGAGGTTGCTGATTGGCTCCAGATGTGTTCTGCAGCAGGACAACATCCCTGTGCGTGCATGTGATGTCATGCAGAATGACCTCCGTCGCTCATGCAGAACCCAGACCTCAGCATCATTGGGTTTGTTAGAATTAGAGCCTGTCTGCATTCACAGAGGATGTTTGGTTCTTCTGGATGTTTGGAACACAAACCTGCTGATTTCCACCGTTAGTTTGCTTTGCATTCATAAAACTAGTTTTAAACCATTGTTGATGCATCTGCCTGCAACTGTTTTGCAAACTAAGACGATGCGTACTGGAGTTCAGCGTTTCTCCTGGAGAGCGCAAATGAAAAAACTGCATTTGTTCCTCTGAGAAACTAATAAAGCAACAATAAAAACAGCATTTCTGCTCCATGGACTGTGTTCCCTTCAGACTTTGTCTGTTTTCAGACCAACTTTGTCGTGTTCCTCCATCTAAGAACCAGTCGGATTAAACAAATAAACACAAACGTGAGATCTGATGTGTCTTTGCTTGTCGTTTACTCGGCATGTCAGTCACACAACAAGCTTTTTCACGGCTCCTCTCCCTCACGCCGGCACTTGGCAGCTCAACCGCTTGTCTGGGCCAAACTACGTTTCAAACATTGTACTCCACATGACAGATGCAGCATGCTTGTTCTTGTAAGAGCGAGGGGTGAGGGGGGTGAGGGATGGGGAGAGGGTTCCAAGACTGTCGGAGGTTTGACTCCTTATTTTTTTATTTCCATCTAAGAAAGTTGAGTAAAAGCTGCAGTGTGTGTGTGTGTGTGTGTGTGTGTGTGTGTGTGTGTGTGTGTGTGTGTGTGTGTGTGTGTGTGAAGCTAATGCTGCTCCTCTGTCTGCAGCATTCTGGTGCATCTGAGCTGTGAGCCAACTACACATTAAACTTTCACACGTTTCACTAAAAGTCAGAGATATTTAACGCATTTGGGCGTCGTCAGCCTTCTCATTGTTCGCGTGAGTGTGTTGCTGCAGGAGCAAAGCTGTAACCACAGAATGTAGAGCCCATTAAAAACGCTCCTGGCTCACTTCTCTCATCTCACCCCATTCACAGTAAGCAGATTTAGTAAACAATGAACTCAAACACTAATTTAGCAGCACTGACAACAGACTAAAAAGTTATAGTATAACTCTGCTCTGGGTCTGTGAATGAAGCTGATGTTCCAGTGTGTGAAGACACTTGGGTGTTTTGGAATAAAGCCGAACCGAGCAGATTTATGCTCGCTCAGTGGAGCTTATCTTCAGATGGCCTTGAGCAGAAAAGCTGTACTTTAGAACATTTTCATAATGAAAGAGAGTGATCTCTTTGTTGTGCATAGCGCATGACGCCGCATGCGTCAATCACTGCAAATGCATGCACACAGAGATGGAGGCTCATGGATGTGTGTTTGTGCACATTCACTGCAAAAACAACCTTCTGTCGGATGCACGGCCAACGATGCGTCCGTTCAACTGTAGTTATCGTTCATCTTTCTGCACAAAGAAATCTGCACGTGCTGCGGTTTCTGTCAGACTCGTTGTTGGATTAGGAAGGTGGGTTGTGATCCTGGGTACGAAAACTGTAAAATATTCAAACTGCATGATTATTGGAATTAAGGAAACAATTAAATTAATATCTTTAAAATAATCGAAGCTCTTCTGACGTAACGGGTTTTCTCTCTAATGAGGTACACACACACACACACACACACACACACACACACACACACACACTGAAACGTCCTAACTCAAACAGCGCATTGTCATCACACCCACCTGAAGACCTGAACCCAACTTGTTGGAGCTGAGCAGTCTGATAGAGATCTTGGCTCAGAGTTGCGATGCCTCTGCTAGATCATCACATTAAACAAAATGACTGTACTCCTTCTGTTTCTATAGCAACCGTGTCTTCAGGATGCCGAACAATGCAGTGAAGGAGAAGTGAGGAAGAGCTGCAATGGCAGTCGTATCTTTCACAGTTCGATTAAATTACAGTAAATGGCTTTATTAGTGCAGTCCTGCAGGTACGCTGCTATTTGGGACACTTTGACTTCAGTCAGCTGACTCTCATCATAAGTTAAGCTTAATGGACGTTTTCTTGTGTGAGTAACTGCAGCAGTGTTGTGTGTGTGGTGGATTTGCTGCTGTTAAGAATGACAGACGCACATCTGAATGTTCATCTGATGAAGACTCTCTGGGATGTTTATGGTTATAAAAGGCTGGAGCACACGGGTGAGTGAAGGTTTATTAGGCGTGAGTAAAACGGACTAACTCTTCAACACACGTTGTCTTCGTCACAGCAACTCGTTACCCAGTCTGCAGTACACCCATCCACCCCCACAAAGGGGGCCCTGGCTCGTGGCATGGTGGGTGGCTGCTGGCTTGGGATCTGGGACATCTTGGGCTGCCTGCTGTTTGGGGGCTGCTCCCAGAATGGGGAGGGCCCTCCGCTGCCTGGACCCCCATTGGGGGCACTGTTGGTGGGGCTGGCGCTCCTTCTGCCTGGGTGCGGAGTCGGGTTGGCTGTCCTTTGTGAGGTGATGAGGTGGGCTGTTGGGGTCTGGGGCTGTCTGGCTCTGGGCTGAGGACTCTAGGCTTGGCATTCCTAAATGGGTTCTCTTTGGCTGGGGGCTGGTGCCCTGGCATGCTGGCTGGCCCCCCTTCCTCCCTGGGCTTGGATCTGTCCTCTGGGCTGGCCGACTGGTGTCCGTCCATTGGTGGCTATCAGCTGCTGGGGCGTGCGTGGCCCGGACTCTGGCGCTGGTGGGACCTGGGCTGTAGCGGGGCAGCTCCTCCCTCACCGCATGCACAACATTAAAAAACGAGGCCCTAAGAAGAGAAGAGCCAAAGAAAAACATGACAAACATGTGTTGCAACAGTGGTACACTGTTTCATCAGACCTCCAAAGAAACTTGTCAGCAAATTTTCTGCAACCTTTCAAAGTACTTTTATTAACAGGCCTCCACTCTGCCGTAGGTGCTGTGGGTGACAGACGCATGGAGATGGCAGACCTCACAGGCAGCACGGCCCTCAGCAGGCGGCCTGCTGTACACTGAACCAGCTGGCTGAGACCAAACATCAACGTGTAGACAGGTACGACTGGATTACCGCAGTTACCTGAAGGGCTAACTTTCTGAAAGCAAGATGAGATTTTTAAAGCTCGAGTGTTTTCGTGGCCTTGAGCAGAGCCTTCAAAGCTTTAAAAGCATTCTGCAGAATGAAACGCTTCTCTTGATGCGTTTTGGCATCTTTTATATGTAAAGAGCAAAACCTCAAATAATCAGCTTTGAATGTTTAAAGGAATAAGGGGTGAACGAGCTGCGAACGGTTTGCTGCATAATGCCGCAGCAACAACGTGAATCTCCCCATGGAGGTACAACTAAAGTGATATTCTGTTCTGTTTGAATTAGGATTGAATTAGAAATGCATTCTCACCAGATGATGATGTTTTAGACTTTCAATTTATGACACTGAATTTTCATTCTGTGGAATTTTGTATTTGAAAATTTCTTTACTAAAATTCATCGGCAAACATTTCATTCTTAAAAATTCAACTGCAAAAGTAAATCATAAAAAATTCCACAATAAAATTTTAACACACACACACACACACACACACACACACACACACATATATATATATATATATATATATAACATAAATTGGGTCAGAAAAGATTCAGCAACAGCTGAGGTGGTGACTGAAGCCAAAGTAATCGTCACTGGATCGAGTCGAGTGGCTTTTAGCCAATCAGATGACACTTTTTTCACCTGACAGGTGTGGACTCGATCAAGTGACCGTTGCTTTGGCTCGGGTCACCAGGAGGTCACCTCAGTTGGTACTGATGACATTCTGCGATTTAATTTTTAAGAATGAAAGTTTTCCTCGTGTATTTTAAGTAAAAGCATGACTAATGCAGTGTCTAAAAAATCACATTCTGATGTGTCCAAACTTGTGTTCTCGTGTCCGTGTGAAACGTCATCAAGTTTGCTCAAAGTTCCAGGATGTTTTCAGGCTCCGCCCATTGTATCGAGGATGCACCAATGTACCCTTCTGCAGACAGCAAAGTTTCCCGTTATGCATTGCGTCACAAACCGTTAAACTCCGAACGTCAGAGGAGAAAGCTAATAACTGTAATGTTTTAGATTATAGTTACAAGTAAAACAATATAAAGTTGCCTGATATCATCAATAATTGTGTGTAAACTGTAAATTTTATTTTGTGTGTTTGGGTTTCACTCTTCACGACCCCTAAAATACTAATTAGCTAACACACTATCAAAATAAAAGCACTGTAGCTCTGTTCTGATGAAAAATAAACTTTTTTTGTTCACTAAAGTGTGAGAAATGGTAGAATTGTATCAGTTTTTATAAAAGTGTGCTAAATGTAATACAACTAATATCTTTTCATTGTTATTTTGTTATTTAAGGAATAAACCAGGCTTTTATTTTTATGTCAGGTCGTTTTTTACCGTAGCAAGAAGCAGCGCTTGTTGCCAGGACACAACAGAGTACGGTTCTGTTCCAAACGCCGTCCTGGTCCTCCCGTACTCGGTAGAACAGACGTTCTGGTGTCTTGCCTAGAACATACTTGTCTAGTACACAAGCATGTACTAGCGTCCTTGAGTATTGAGAAACGGTCTGAATTTCTTCCACAGAAGTCCAGAAGTGCCTTCCTGGATCCCGACTGGATTACATACGACACAGAGAGATTCTAGCTTAAAATAATCAGCTCTTCTTCGATTTTGTTTTGCAGAATGGATTTCTTCAACTGGACTGAAGGAGCTTTTGACACGAACAGCAGCGCTTTCGACTCATTTGAGACTGTCAAACTCCCTGTCAGCAAAATCCTGCTCACCATAACCCTTTCTGTGGTGGCCACCCTCACTACGTTCTTCAACTGCCTGGTCATCACTGCTATTGCCGTCACTCGCAAGCTGCACCACCCAGCCAACTACCTCATCTGCTCCCTGGCGGTGACTGACCTGCTGGTGGCTGTGCTGGTCATGCCCTTCAGCATCCTCTACATCCTGAAGGAGAAGTGGGTCATGGGTGAGGTGGTTTGTACCATTTGGTTAAGTGTAGACATCGCCTGTTGCACTTGCTCTATCCTTCACCTCGCTATGATTGCCATTGACCGTTACCGCGCCATTACTGACGCTGTGGAGTACTCTCGCAAGCGCACCGGGGCCAGGGCTGGTGCGATGGTGGCCGTCGTGTGGCTCTTGTCCATCCTTATCTCCCTTCCTCCGCTAATGTGGCGGCACTACAGTGGAGACGCAGAGCATGAAGACCAATGCATCATCATCCACCATCACATGGCTTTCACGCTTTATTCAACTCTCGGAGCATTTTATATTCCCCTGCTGCTCATTCTAATTCTCTACTACAAAATCTACAAGGCTGCTCAGACCCTTTATATGCGAAGGGAGGCTAGCAGGGCTAGCCGTCACTCATGCATGACCAATGGAAGCATGATCCCTTCGTCCTACCCCGCTGGAGACAGCGATGCCGATTGTGGGCCTCGAAGCCCTGATCCCATAAGTCCACCAGAAAAGTCTTTCTCTGAACCTTCGACTGAGGAAACCCCGCGCAAGCGTGACCGTGAGCGGGAGCGTGTGCAGGCCTCCAGAAAAGTCTTTCAGAGCAAGTCACACAGACAGGAGTCGAGTAGCGAGTCTCGCCGGAGCCAGTTGTACCAAGGACCTCGAATCTCAGGCTCACGTGAGAGAAAGGCAGCATCCACGTTGGGGCTGATCATCGGGGCCTTTGTCATCTGCTGGCTGCCATTTTTTGTCAAGGAAGTAATCGTCAACACCTGCAGTTCGTGCAGCACTTCTATGGAAATGGCTGACTTTCTCACATGGCTGGGCTACCTTAACTCTCTGATCAACCCTCTCATCTACACCATCTTCAACGAAGACTTTAAAAAAGCCTTCCGAAGACTTGTTAGGTGCAGCCATTACCTCTGATAGTTTCATACGTGTGTGTCAAAAAGAGATGCTTATGGTCAGAAAAAGAAATATTTGCCCGGTTCTGCTTTTCAGAAGACCTGTTGTATGTTTTACGAGTTATGGAATCAAGCCCCACAATAAAGCACAAGCTCTAGAGTTCAGTATCGTCCTGAAGTAAACTGTTGCATCAAGTCAAGGAAACGCTGACCTTTCGGAGGTTAGGGTTAACCCTTCTTAGCACGAGTTTTCAGACCCACTTAAAGGTCTAGAAACAGCTGAGCATCCTGTCTGCTCCATCTAGCGACTGCTGGCTAAAATACAGAACATGTATTTGCCGAGGCTTCTTTTTATGCATCCATTGTCATACAAAAGTGTTATTTTATCTAATTGCCACAGAAACCTTTAACCAAGATGAACATGTTGTTTGGGCTTTACCACGTCTGACCCTTAGAGGGGTAAGACTCGGAAACACGTTCAAGCAGGAAGTTTAGGTTAACAGAACCAGGAGTGTTTCTCAATGTCAAGGCGCCTGGCCTTGTGAGGCGATGTCTTGCGAGGCCAGGCGCCTTGCTTACGAGGACTCTGTCCTTCCTTGATCAAAGAAAACGGTTTAATGGAACAGACTTGCATCACGGCGGTCACGTAAGGTCACGTGACACGGGAGATAACGTTATATTTAATTGTGTATATGTTTATTAAATTAAAAATATATAAATATAAGTGAGTTACTACCCGCTAGCCACCAAAGCTGCAACTACTAAGCAACTAACCAACCATAGATAACTACTTTAGATCTAAAAAAAACATTTTAAATTAGTTGACTTACTTTTAAACTTAAAAATTGTCCCCGAAATAGCTGCCGGCTTCTGAGCCGCCATCCTTTTGAAAATACTGCGGTGAACTCTGGGTGATTTTTGACCAAAGCTAGGCTACAAGACACCTCCTGTGTATCCTCGCTCAGCTAGCTAAACGGCTAACAAACGGAGAACACATGCCTTGGTAGAACATTGGAACACGTCTTGGCGGCTCCCGATGACGTATCTCCTAGGCGACCGGGGCGGGGCCAAGACATCAAGACGAGGTTCCTAGGCATTGAGAAACACCTCGGGTTTGTGTCGTAGTGGATATAAAATCACCAGTCAAACATGATTTAACCGCAGGAAAATAATCAAGATTTTGTTCAAGAATGATGATTTCTGTTAATCCTGCAGATTCACATTTTCATGTTTTCAGTTTGACCAAGTCTAACATGATTTATGCTTCTAAGTGTGAAAAATGTTACATCTGATGAAAACTTGACCCCGTGACTGATGTCCTTTGACAGATTTCACATAAGTCGTGTTAGACATCAGTAAAATGACCAGCTGGTAAAAATAAAAATTGCTGATGCTCTTTGAGTTTATAGAGCTGGAGGTGGATGGGTAGGCTGTCGAAGGAGGGAATATAAAGGAGCGTACACCAGTATGCCTTTGAAACATCTGCATTGTGGGAATTGTTAAAGTCACAGACTGGATTTTAAGACCGACCAATGCTCTTGTCCTAAAGTCATAACCCATGCAAACTAGCTTTAAGCGGTCTTTTCTGCCAGCTTGTATCAGTAAGTGTAAATTAAATAAAACCTGATATGTTACACGTGTGAAAGAAAATTAGACATTTTTCACTTCTTGACTTGCAGTCAGGCCATGTATGCCACAAAAAAACACTTTAATGTGCTTTTTTATGATCATCTATAAATATGCAGAGTCTGTGGTACTTTCAGTGCTACTTTTAAAAAGCCCCATAGCTGCAAACAACCTTGAGCAACTCAACTTTTATGTTATAAAGAATCTCTTGTTCTTGTTTGAACTTCTAATACATTTGTTAGAGACATCAGAGCTTATCACACGTAGCACACGGATCTGAACTGTTTGATGCAAAAGAAGAAACTGAAAACGTGGAACTGAAAGGAACGGATGCTTTTGCTGTTACTTAAAGGTGTGAAACACTGAAAAACCATTTTTAATGATTCTTTCTGATTTTAACAGGGTTTTCATGCAGGCTGAACATGAAAATAGTCTCCTACATCTATCTGCTGCATTCGCTTCTGATAGAAAATAGACGGCGAAACTCTAGATTAGAAAATCCTGACAGATCTACGTCACTCTGTCACTTAACATTCATGGACTCACCCATTTGACTCATGACGGGGAAGGCTGCTGTTGGTTTAGCGTCCAGGAAACAGCAGAGAATGACTCGGCTAGTAGAAGCTAACTGTTAGCATTAGCTACTCCACCACACTGCAGAACTCCTCCAGGCTTGTGTTATTTGTGGAGATAAAGCATCAACATTGAAAGTAAACAGAGTCAGTGGTAGAGTTGTGCTGCATGGACGTCACTAGGATTGAGATATAGGGGGGGCTTAGCCCCAGGAGCTTGACCTTGAACATTTTTTTCACACCCTGCAAAAACTTTGTCAATTAATTCATTATCTGAAGAACATTTAACAAAACCTATTATTTTGTCACTTTCTTTTCCTTTCCTACCTTTGTGCATTTTCTCTCTTCTTTTTATAAAAAAATAACACTTAATCAGTTCATTAGTGGGGTCTATGTTGAAGAAAGATTTTATATAAGTCCATTAAAAATTAGATATGTTATATTTCCAAATAAAGCTATTCATTTCAGTCTACTGCACTTAACAGGGGGAAATGTTGCAGTCATTTGTTTAATTACAACTTGCTTAATTATAAATGTTACTAAAATATGACAAAGAACAAATTAATAATTGTCAAACTTTTATTCTGCCAAATGAGTGTGCAGTTGACAGTTTTAATATATGAATAACACTGCTATGATGTGGAATAAAGGAGTATGTAATTAACAATTGCAAGACAAAATAACAGTATATATAAAAATGAGGGCTGGGACTTGATTAAAATTTTTAATCTAATTAATTAGAGGCTTTGTAATTAATTAATCTAAATTAATCACATTTTAATCGTTCAGGAAAATGTGCTCTCAAAGCAAAACTTAATTAAAATTGAGACAGAGAATTAAACATTAGACATAGTTATTACTGTAAAACTAAAGCTTTTAATAAAAAAATGCATTTTAATTAATCAAATGTCACTGTGTGATATGAAACAAAACCCAAATCAACTAAAATTTATAATTACAAATAGAAAACGCTTGCAAAGGGTTCCTGAGCCTTTAAATAGTCTCTCTGTCTAGTTGAATTACTGAAATAAATTTGACTTTGCACCAGATTCTAATTTTTCCAGTTTCACTTGTTTGTTTAATTGGGAGTTTTTATTAGCATTTCTACTCATAATGTAGTAAAAACACATAAATAAATAATAATCCTTCAAAATGACAGTAGAACAGGCACAAATATGATCTAGGACTTAAATGTACTAACTTTTAACACCAGAGCAGGCGTGGCATATTCTGAGAATGATCAGGAACACTAACTGGTTCCAGTTGGATGACTGGAGGTTGATGGGAAGATAAAAGATCATGGCGAGGAAATAATGATCTGACGAACAGGTGAGCGGACCTTCCTTACATGGGAAGTCCTGATGTTACGTTAAGAAGGGGATGCTGCAGACCCGCAGATTCAGGCCTGCAGCAGAGAATCTGGTGTGATCTCCAGCCTGATCACAACTTCCTCGTTCCTCGCTGCCCCTGATGCACTTAAGCATCCGCCCCTTAGCTGCTGACAGCTTCAACACACCTCGCTGCTTAATGATAGTAATGCATGTGATGTTTAGACAGAGACTCGTCTCAGAAACGTATAACTCCCCGACAGAATTGTTTAGAAAACCATCAGAAAAGTTTCAGAGTGTTTCTGTTTTAACGAAAACTTCTGTTTTCAACTTTAAGACACGTTGTTTGTGATTGTTTACAGAGTAGTGAGAACACGGAGCGTTCTCCCAGCGGCAGCCAGGTGCCTCTCGTTTGTCTGACTACTTTCATAAACTACTGTTAGGGCACAGAATTATTCTGTCTGGTGCTTTCAGCGCTGCACAGATGGTACGTAAATGTTAAAAATATAGCTTACCGCAACTTTTGTAAAGTTTCCTGTGCCACCGGGCAGCCGCAGCAGAGACGATCTCTGAAAAATGTCTGCGACACGGACTCCGTTGTTGTCTGGAAGTTTGTTTTTTTCAAGTTAAGAAAAGAGGCGGACGGGTTTCCTAAACCCTGCATCAGTCCAAGCAAGGCAGCTTCTTTCTGTTTTTATTCCGTTAGTAGCCATTAGCACTGTGCATTGTTGTGTGCGTCAGTGATATTCAGTCTACGAGGAAGTCGTGCAATGACAAAGGTTCCGCCGTGCTCGAAATGCAAGCTGCGATTAAACGCGTGAATTTTTTTAACGTGTCGTTTTTTTCTAATTAATCATAATAACGCGTTAAAGTCCCAGCCCTAAATAAACTCAAAATGATAGGGGGGCTTGTGATTATTTTAGGGGGGCTGAAGCCCCCCTAAAACGGACCTAACGACGTCAGCGGTGCTGCTGTTAGCCAATCAGAGGAGAGATGTCCATTTATCAGGAAAAAGACTCTAAATCATGCCGTGTTCTCTGATGTGGCATTCTGCTAGTTCCTGGAACAAACACACCCCCACCCCTCACCCCCGAGTTTGACTTGCAAGGCAGTTCATTCCTACAAGAGACCACTGCAAATTAAACGAGTGTCACACACCTTACAATCTTTTTATCGGGAACACAAACTTGTACATGGATTATTTAATCCAAGATAAACCGAATCAGATTAAAGGCTTTTTCTTTCCTGCATGGAACACAAAGCCAGTAGAACACAGGGATGATCAATAACAGCGTTAAAAATAAGGATAATGATATCAAGGACATAATGAGAGAAACTGCTGTCTGCGGTTATCGCCAACAACAGTCGAACAGCACACATGTGACAGATATGCAACGCTATAAGGCTTGATGTGAAATGGGCTGAGGAACATGTGATCCTCAGAGTAACTCCAGATCATTGCTTAATACTTTCTTCCATTGTGATTCTTCACATTTGAGAAACATTTTCTGATTTTGAAGGACTGTCTGTGTTGGTTTGAGTCGTTGAGTCTGAACGTGCACATTCACAAACTCAGTGGTTTCAGATTTAAAACAGATCAAAATCCTTCCATAGACTTAATTTCAGGGTTCTTGCTGCAGCCAGGCGGGCATCGCTCCTTACCGAACAACAATAAATTGCTTTGTAATCTTTCTGATGTACTTGTTTTATGAAATGCATTTTAGTCTTTATGTTTTTCCTGGTATTTCTTAATGTATTAATCTATTCTTTTCATTTCTCAAAGCCATTAAAGATCCTTTTCCGTTTTAGTCCACCACACAGCTCACATCAGGTCATCTGAACACGACTTACTGGTGAAAGAAAATCCTCATTATATTACTCCCACTCAAATACTTGGAATAGTACTTCTATTTTTTCCTGCCTTCAAGAGTGCTCGTGATATGCTGAAGGAAATGTTGTGGGTGAGTAAGGTGTGAGGATTTGCAGTAAGTCAGGAGAAGAGAGTAGGTGTGTAGTAACATCCAGAGTGGCCAGTCTGTCTTCTTCTGTGGGTTCCTGTCCCAACGGTTTGCTGGGGAGAGAAAATCAGAGTATTAATGTGTGTGTGTGGAGAGAGAGCTGTACAGAAATAACAAAAATTAAATTTCACTGATGAACTGGATTCAGCCTGCTGACTGACTCTTGATGTGGCTTTACTATTATATTATAACAGCGCCCTCTTCTGGTCATCAGTTGGCCTCACCTTCACAGAAAACGATGCTCTCAACTCTTTAAAGGGCCACTCATTGAATTAGTTTAAAACTTCAACCCTGGGGTGTTATTGTGGAATTTATTTTCATGCAGAAAATCTGAGAAAATGATGTGATCAAATATGGACGCTGGCCCTGTTCTGGTAAAAAGTCCCAAAGCAGCAACAGAAGCATAGATAATTATAAGACACTTTAAAGTAATCTAGCAAATTTTAGAACATGATATCACTGTAGAATAATACAGAATATGTCACAATTATTAAATAATATAGAATATTTTTATAAAAACAGATTGCTGTAGAATATTTTTGAAACACGTTGAACAATAGATATAGATTATTAGAATATTTCAGAATATTATATATTTGAGGATCTGCCTCAATGTCATCCTCTTCATCTTCATCATCATCACCTCATAGTGACACCAAATGGTACAATGACTGCCCTCTTCTGTTTTTCATAAAAAGCTTAGTTTAAAACTGCAAAAGATATTCAGTATTATTGTTAGTATTACTGTTAACAATATTATGAAGTTTATGTCTAAAAAACAGTAGATTTTACCTAAAAATATACATTTTTAAATGCTTGTTCAGGGCGTATGATCATTAAGGCAGCTTTGATGTTCAAGCTTGATTTCATCAACTTCATTGACACAATTTCTATCCTTATCTACATTTTATTTGGACATTATTTATTCATTTTCAGTCTCCAACAGCCCATGTGCTCAAAGAAGCACCTCCAAAAGCAATACTCTGTTCCACCAGTAGATGGTAACAGTAACCCAACATAGACATTGAATAAGATGTCCTGTTTTAAAATACATAAAACGAGAACAAACAAACATATTTTACAGCAACAGCTATGAGTTCAGCTCTGTCTATAGAAATCAACAGTGAGTATGTGTGAATGAGGGAGTGAGAGAGTGAAGGGGAAAGGAGATCCAGTACCTTCTAGCATGCTAGCTAGCTGTTTCCTGTAACGGGGGTTCTATTGCCCAGCGCCCCGGAAACAAATACATCCGTGATGATGATTGGCCCAAAAATTCTCCGGTTCTCCCTCAAGCCAAGCATGATTGGCTGTGCAGTTCAATTCAATTCAAGTTTATTTATATAGCGCCAAATCACGACAAGAGTCGTCTCAAGGCACTTCACATAATAAACATTCCAATTCACAGGTCATTAAGCCAATCAGAAATAATGTTTCCTATATAAGGAACCCAGCAAATTGCATCAAGTCACTGACTAGTGTCAGTGACTATACAGCAATCCTCATACTAAGCAAGCATGCAGCGATAGTGGAGAGGAAAACTCCCTTTTAACAGGAAGAAACCTCCAGAGAATCCTGGCTCACTATAAGCAGCCATCCACCACGACTCACTGGGGATGGAGAAGACAGAGCAGGCAGACAAAGACACAGCTGGTGAAATTATGTGTAAATGATTCAGATTGCACGTCACAATTGAGCTAAACGACCACATTCATATGTGTGTATGTATACACGCACACACACACACACATATATATATATATATATGTGTGTGTGTGTGTGTGTGTGTGTGTGTGTGTCTGTCTGTCTATATACTTACACACACATACATATATATATGTATATATATAAATATGTATGTGTGTGTGTATATACATACATACATATTTATATATATATATATGTATATATATAAATATGTATGTGTGTATATGTATATACATACACACATACATATTATATATATGCTCAGAAGAAATGTGTTTGTTTTGAAACGTGGACTGCAGTACCCTGGTTTGACCACAGGATGTCATTCTTTCTTCATGCACCTTTAATATGATCCTTTTGTTATATAAAATAATCTCCTACTCTATGATCTGTTTTATTCATCTCATTTTCTGCAATTTTATTACTATTTATTTTTTTACTTCCAGCATTTTTCTCAGCACAGTTTTTTTAAATGTGCAAATATGTTTATTATTTTGCTTCTTTGAACTCAAGCTTCTGTCATAATCAAGCAGGTTATTTTCCCAGGACCAGGACAAATGAAGAGTAAGTTATCAACATCACATGCATTTCCCATCTTATTTTTATTGTGAAATAAAATAAACAAACAAATAAATAAAATAATTGTCTTTGTATTTTTCATGTGAATAACTTACATTCATGACTGTGCATGTGTTTACTTTGCTTGCTATTTAGCCAGCAGCAGGTCTAATGAAGTGAAAAAAAACCTCACATTTGCACATGTTTAGGTAGCAAATATATTTCTTCTGTTCTTTTTAATTCTTCTTTGTTTCTGTGGTAAATGTGATTGCCAGTGTCTCATCAAAATGACCCCACTGAGGGACAATAAAGTGATTTTCTATTCTAATCTGTTTTCTATTCCATTTCAACTGCATACACTACATTGCTTCTACTTTACTAAAAGTTTTTATCTTTGGAGCAAACTTTCATTTATTTATACTTATACAGGTCTGCTACACTGAAAAACACATGTTTTATGATGCTGAAACACTGATAGTTGCTATGGTTTTTCACATTTTTTAAGTTCTTTTTGAGTTTACATGTTTATGTAGACGTGTATCTTATGTTTATGTTTATTTATTTAGCAGACACTTTTATCCAAAGCGATTTACAGTTTATAACCTATAGGGCATGTTGTGATCTGTGGGGGAAACCGGAGTACCCGGAGGAAACCCACGCATGCATGGGGAGAACACGCAACTCCACGCAGAAAGGCCACAGCCGAGTTTCGAACCTGCGACCTTCCTGCAACAGTGCTAACCACTGCACCACTATGTAGCTGTTTCCAACGTTAGGGTCGTGAATCCACCGAGGGTCACCAAGAGCTGTACACGGGTTCTTGAGAAGATTTACGGAAAAATAAATAAAATAGAAAAACAACTATAGTGTAGTTATGCTGCTATAGGCTTAGACTGCTGGAGGACACACTGACCACTTTTCACACTCTACTTTTTTCTTCTACAGTCTGCTCTTTAACTGTATTATTTTGTGCAATTTCAGCTGTTAACTTTATTTTCCCTGTAAGTGTTTTTCTCCCCAGAAGAAGCTACAATGACGTTCTGCTGAGCTGTGGTGGCCTCATGGAGGGGGTCATCGTCTAGCACACTGCTGCTAACCACTTAAACATTCTCTCTCTCCTGATAATAACATTTTACTTTCCTTGACGTTGGATGTGCTACTGCTAGTTTATCCGTTTAATTATAGATTCACTAGGATAAATACAATAAAGTTTATCTCTCACCAAATAGAATATTTACTAAGAAATCACAATATAACTATAGACACATTACTAGTCTTTGTGTGTGTGTGTGTGTGTGTGTGTGTGTGTGTGTGTGTGTGTGTGTGTGTGTGTGTGTGTGTGTGTGTGTGTGGGTGTGCTTAAGCTTGGTTTATGCTTGACGCATTTACTTTCCGCTTGGTGATGCGGCTCGCGGATGGAACGCGCTTCACAACTCGCAGCGTTTATGGTTCATGCGGCTCGTCTCTGCGGTGAGAAAATATTCTCCCAGACTGTAGGGGGCAGCATGGAGCTCTACGGCATGCATCCAACACTACACCACAGTAGAAGTAAAAATTACTGTTGTTTACAACATGGAATTCCAGCATTTTTTAACAGCGTCCTCGTCTTTTCCGACAGTGCGAGCTATTTCTCTCCAAGAATTATTAACAACATGTTGATCACGGTGATCTCTGAGAGCTGAATCATACAAATGTCTGTATTTACGAACCTCTGCCATACTAGTTCTTGCCAGTCCGCCATGTTTTTCCGCGTCCGACCGTCCGCGTGGTTAGAAAATTTCCTAGGTACGCGGTGCGGAAATTTTGGGCAATGCGGAGGTGCGGTGGAGGGGCGTGGTTGTTAAAATGACGCAATTTTGCCGCGCGGAGCCGTGCGGACCTCGCGGACGCATCAAGCATAAACCAAGGTTTAGTCTTCTCGATCCCCAGTGAGTCGTGGAGGATGGCTGCTTATACTGAGCCAGGATTCTCTGGAGGTTTCTTCCTGTTAAAAGGGAGTTTTCCTCTCCACTGTCGCTAAATGCTTGCTTAGTATGAGGATTGATGTAAAGACTGACACTAGTCTTGATGCAATTTGCTGGGTTCCTTATATAGGAAACATTATTTCTGATTGGCTTAATGAACTGACCTGTATTGGAATGCTTACTGTGTGAAGTGTCTTGAGACGACTCTTGTCGTGATTTGGCGCTATATAAATAAACTTGAATAGAATTGAATTGCTGAAGCTACTTTTCAAGCATAATCGTTACCAAAAAATTAACTAAATTGCCAAAGAGGGATATAAGTGTACATGAGCTGAAACACTTTTCTAAATGCCCTGAATTATTTGGCATGCATGTTTCGCCTCTGTCAGTGCGTCCCAGGGCAGCTGTGGCTACATTGTAGCTAATCACCATCAGTGTGTGAAGGTGTGTGTGTGAATGGATGAATGATACACTGTAGTGTAAAGCGCTTTGGAGACCTTACTCTGAGAGGCGCTATACAAGTGCGGCTCATTTATCGTTTATGTTATCAAATCACAGATCTGGGTCTGAAGCTGAAAAGTTTAGAAGCCACCTTTCTGGCGTATAAAAGCACAACAAAACAATAAAAAACGTTATCAGCGCGATAAGAACTATATGAATGGTTGCCAGATTGGGTCTGTTTCCTTCTGGGGCTTTAGATGACCCACTGGCGGATCCTCTCGAATATATTTGGCAACCGGAGTATGCGCTGGATTCAGCAGACAGTATGGCGGACAACGAAAGTGATTTGGAAATAGACGGGCTTGAAACAGCTCTGGACACTCTGTGTCTCAGACACTGCAGCAAGGAGTCCTCTCTGAACAGCAAAGAGTACTGCTCAGATTTCTGTGAGGTAGGTTGGGCTGATTTCAGGAGGCGAACAGCACAATCGCTTTGTTTTGTGCTAATGCTACTAGCCTCCAGCTAACGTTAGCATCAGACTGTCACCATTTAGGCAGCTGTCTCGGCACAACCCACCGAAAACGCTGCTACAAGAGTTAATTTTGATATATTTAAGCCAGACTAATGCCTTGTTACTTCAGTGTAACAACACTGTCTACAGCCTGGCGTTTTAAAATGAGCACGTTTCTAGTTTTGGGTTTAAGCTAAGCTAATTATCCAACGATTCATACGAGACTGTTTAAGTGATGTTGAAAATTAAACGTGATGAGTTTTAAAAAGATTAAGACGTAAATCAACATCCTGGCAGAAGAAATGTCGCCAGGCCTTACTGCTGCATTTTACACATGGTCGGCCATCGCTAACTTTTGCGTTTCTGCTGAATTGTGTAATGATCTCTAGTGCTCACAGTCATTATTTAGCTAATACAATGTTATTGTCCTAATTTTCTAGAACGTTTTTTGCACACTTACTTTATCAGTTATTGGTACCCTGGCCAATAGATCCCCGTCCAAAATGATGTTGCACCAGGATTTTTAATTCACTGTTACAGGATGTTGGAAGCAAACACAGAACAGAGTCGAGCTATTTAATGTTTAAAAAACTGCTTGAATTTTTCTTCTTGTCATACAGTTGGTAGAGGAGTACACGGGCCAGTGGCATGTTCCTCTCCCTCAGCTCAAAGTGCTCCGGACTGCTCTCTGCAATTTCACCAAAGCCACAGCTGCCTTTCCAGATGACTGTCAGCACGTCCAGTATGTCCTCAGCAGTCTGGCCTTGTGAGTGCACACATGTCCAGATGAACATGCATGGTGTTTTCTGCCTCTTTGTTTGAGTAACGGTCACATTAAAGCATCAGACATTAACTGTGCACCCATCCATCCATTTTCTTCCGCTTCTCTGGAGTCGGGTTATGGGGGCAACAGTCTAAGTCAAGAGGCCCAGACTTCCCTTTCTCCAGGTCTTCCGGCGGAATGCTAAGGCGTTCCCTGGCCAGGTGAGAGACATAGTCTCTCCAACATGTCCTGGGTCTACCTTTAGGTCTCCTCCCGGTTAGTCCTGCCCAGAAAACCTCACCAGGGAGGCATCCTGACCAGATGCCCGAGCCACCTCAACTGGCTCCTCTTGATGTGGAGGAGCAGCGGGTCTACTCCGAGCTCCTCCTGGATGACTGAGCTTCTCACCCTATCTCTAAGGGAGAGCCCAGCCACTCCACGGAGGAAACTCATTTTGGCCGCTTGTATCCACGATCTCGTACTTTTGGTCACCACCCAAAGCTCATGACCATAGGTGAGGGTAGGAACGTAGGTAGACCAGTAAATCGAGAGCTTCGCCTTCTGGCTTAGCGCTCCCTCTTTTCACCCCGAACAAATGTCATTCGAGCAGCCCTATTTAAATGGTAAATGGCCTGTATCTGTATAGCGCCTTTTTAGGATTCTACAACCCCCCCTAAGGCACTTCACAACACAACCAGTCATTCACTCATTCACACACTGGTGGTGATGAGCTACCATGTAGCTACAGCTGCCCCGGGGCGCACTGACAGAGGCGAGGCTGCCGAGCACAGACGCCACCGGTCCCTCCGACCACCACCAGCAGCCAAGGTGGGTTAAGTGTCTTGCCCAAGGACACAACAGCAGAATTCTCTGGTTGGAGCCGGGATCGAACCTGCAACCTTCCGATTACTGGACCACCCGCTCTACCTCCTGAGCTGCTGCGATTTACAAACATATAATTGCTGGAATTTTTTAAAGCTTTTTTTCATAATTTATTGAAAAGTTTAACACATTTTAACCACGTTATTACATTTTCTATATTTCACTCATTTTAAAGTTTTGGAAGCAAAATGTGCTAAATTAACTGTGGTGTTTGCGAGGGTTGCACCTGCAGATTCACAAGTCAGTTAAACGGTTAAAACAGCACCACAAGGCTGCAACGCCGTGGCGGCATCAGGGCTGGTTGTAAGTGGTCAGGCTGTGGCGGTAGTGTGACGCAATCATGTTCTCTTTATTAAAGGTTAGGTAATGGCGGCATAAAGGAGGTATGGGGGCAGTCTCTGCGCTGCCGCAGACTTTTTATTGCGATCAAATCCGAGCTCGTTACGTTTTTTGGACAAGCCTCTCCTAAAGGTGTCTGTCCTCCTCAGTCCCCGTGCAGCCTCTGGTGATCTGACCTCCAGCTCTGACTGAGGGAAGCGCCACGACCCCTGCAAGCTCTGGTTTGCCATTTCAGCTGATTTAGTTCAAAAAGCTAAATTTACATCTCCTGTTTACTTTAATTTTCATTATATTTGCCGGTTGGAGTTCGGCAGTAACTCCCCACATCGTCATGACACCGCCCTCTGTTTTCGCCAGACGCAATCACCGTTTATAAGACAGACAAGTACTGTAATATAACTACCAAGCGAGGCGGAACGAATGCTGCAGAATTCGTGTAACGCCATGCCGGCATGGCGCGTTTAGAAGACACACCATTGCTGTAATATTACACCGATTTGCCGGTGCGGTGTTTCTTGTTTACAGTAGCCCTAAACGAAGTAGAAGCTGTATTTTTCTGTTTTGACTTCATTTTACTCTTCTTGCAGGAGCTTCTTTGAGCTGATGCTGTTTTTCAGCAAAGAGGAATTCATTGAAGAGCCTCTAAAAGACATCCTTGATACTTTTCAGGTACGGTTCCAGCAACACTTTAGTTAGCCGTTATAGGGTTAATTTACCAGTTCATCTCAAGCGTATGTTTCACTGGAACATGTCTTCTTATTGTTGTAGAAGTCATTATTGGGGTTAACGGTCAACAGTGTTGTATCCTCGTTTCTGAACTGACTGTTTAGGAGTGCCACTGTAGACTCCTGAGACACAGGAACGTGTACCTTCAGCACGTGAAGCAAACGATCAAAGGAGGAGGTCCGTGGGAGAGTCCGGTGCTGCAGGGGATCCTCAAAGAGACAGACCTGCCACCTAATGAAGGTACTGTGCTTTAAAGAAGTACCCATCAGCTAGTACATATTGTTGATTACATCATCAGTATTATTCTGTCTTCTCAAAATCTTAACGTTCCTCTCTCACAGTTGAGGACTTCTTGAGCTCTGAATTGCCGATATTTTTGGAGTTGCGGGTTCGATATCTGCAGGCCTGCGAACGAGTGCAGGAGGTCATGGCTCTGGCTAAATGCTGTCTGGAAAATCACGAGACTGGAAAGCATCTTTACTTCCATCAGGCCTACCTGACCTGCCTCTTTAAAGCCTCTCTGTATGAAAACCTTCAGAAAGAGGTGAAAAACTAAAAGTAGACGTTGTTGCACAGAATTCAACAGAGGTTCATCTAACGTATGATGTCATGCATTACTGGCGTTAACAGCTCTTTGTGTCTTTATAATAATAAACGTTTTGTCCGTCAGATGGCAGAAATAGACGGCCGCGATGCCGTGGAGATCATTTGCAACACAGAAAGTGTGGAGAAGGACGAGTTCTTGTTGTCACTGTGCCGGGCTTTCCTCACCCGGCAGCTACATAAAGGTGACATGTACTATATCTGGTAAGTTTGACATACATCCCCAGTTTCCATAGTGTTACCATTGAGGAGCTGTAAATGTGGAGTCTTAACTCATTCGCTGCCAGCGTTTCCCACAGTTGTTACTGTTTTTTTAAGAGTGACAGAACGTTGCGCGCTAGCATGATGTCGACGCCAAAGCAACCAAAACAAAGCGGAGACTCACCTCTTACGTCAGGAAAAATCGGCGTGTTTCGAGCGTTATCCGTTCTTTCATAATCCGTTGTTGAATTGTGATCGGCAGAAGCGTTTCCGGTTCGCGCCCCACTGTTTTTACAGGAACGGCCCAAAACGATCTCCTAACACATGGATGTTCTGCTTCCTGGTCACGTGACGTGTGACGTACGCAAATGAAGATCGGCTTCAGAGCTGGGATGTTTGTTTTCACGGTGTGGGGGCTCGTCCGACGCCCACGCAGTAAAAAAATGCAAATGATGACTAGTCGAGTTAATATTTAAAGCTGTTATTGACCATTTATTTGCTTGTGTTGATCTCTTTATTGGCTTATGAAGGTATTTGGTCCTATTGTGATTGGCAGTGCTCCACAATGATGAAACTAGTGGTCTTGTCATGTTTTTACTTTCCCTGACATGTTTTCAGGGATCTTTCCCTGTTTGGGCGCTGATCCTTGAAGACGTTAGCCTAGAAGTCACCCGTAGCAAAAGATCTCGCTCTGCAGGTCGGCTCCAGTTTAGTCTCTGAGGGTCTACCACCGGGCTGAACAGTTCTGTGGTTGCCAATCACAGCGCTGGACTTTTTGTTGGGTGGGCTTTTAATACTTCAGCTGCAACTGAGAAAAACTACAAAGATGGCATCGGCTCAGAAATGGCGCTGGTTTAAAACGCTTTAGATCTGGGCTTTTGATTGAGACATGATCAGATGGAGGTAATGAAGTCAATTAATTAAAAAAAGGATGCATTTGCTTTTTTTTCGGTGGCGTTTGGCGGACTGCCCTGTTGACTGATTGCCGTAATGGCACCGTGTTGTTTGTTGCTCTGATTTGTCCCGGTGCTCTCCAGTTGCGTGCAGTCAGTTTGAAAGATGACTGTAGATGGCGCCCCATGACTGGGCTGTTTGACCTAAGGGCCGTGGCCAGTCTATGTTTGCAGGATGGTTTAGGGACGTGTCTCTTGGGCGTTGAATTGTTTTAAGGCAAGGTCATCTGCTTGTAATTTGTATGAACTGTCCAGACTCGGTGTTATTGGATATCGCCCAGATTCTGTGCTTCTGTATTTATTCTTTGCAGGCTTGCTGTCTTCACAGTGTGCAGAGCTATAGTCGGTCCAGGCTTCAGTTCTCCATTACAGTTCTTCTAGCTTCATTGCTCAATACACCATCTGCTCTCACAGGTGATGCTTGTTTCCTCTCCACACAGGGACCTGGTTTTCATCTGGAGCAGGCTGTACCTTAGGGCCCATCCTTCCCGACAAGGCTTCTTGGCTGAGTGCTTGCAGCTAGCTTCCTCTGCTACCAATGTCAGAGCCATCTTCCCCATCATCAAACTGGTCACCACAGAGGTGAGATTTTTATCAGAGGTGAGATTTAAAATGAGGTTTTAAGCATCTAGTAAGAAAATGGGGAATACGATATCTACAATAATGAATGAGAGCGTTCAAGATAATGTTAGAGTGACACTAGAGAGTGTAATGTCATTGTTTTATATTGTTAACAGCTGGGTGCTGAGGGGGTCCAGGTCTGTGTGGAGCTCTGCTGTAGGGCCTTGCAGCTGGTTGACCTGCAGGCTGACGCTGTAACCCAGTCACTGGTCTGTAAGACCATCGCCTTCCTGCTGCCTCATGACCTGGAGATCTGTCGGGCGTGTGCCCTTCTCGTCTTCTGTCAGGAACGAAGCCTGGAGGCATACCGAACGGTCTGTCTGCTTTACAGGCACCCCGATGAAGAGCAACATCCCCACAGCAACGCTGTCCGCACCAGTGTTCGCTTCCCTCTCCTGCAGGTGAAAGCATAATAGTGAGGCAGATTTAATCCCACTGTGATTTATAACCTTCTGACTTCACATGCCCTGTCTTCTCCAGATGCTCAAGGAACGCTTGTGTTTTGACCCTGAATTCTGGAACCTTTTCACTCTCAGGACTCATTGCTTAGAGTTGATGAGCGACAACGTAATGAAGGATGCTGAACTCAGTGAGATAAAGGAGGAACAGGAAGAGGAGTACAATGAAGGGCCCTTACCAAATAACTGTAGAAACGAGCCGTGCGCTTTAGATTCAAAGTCATGCCGCTTGACTCAAACTACGTTTGTGAGCCAAGACCTCTCCGAGAAGCAAACTGATGACAGAGCAGGAGGAAAGTGCATTGCACCAAATAACTCTTCTCTAAAGAAAGGCAAATGGAGGAAAAGACTTAGAAAGAGAACACCGCCTTTGTCTGATGAAGAGCGTGAACCCGGTGATGATCCAGAGTTTAGGTACAATCTAAAATCTGTCTCTCTGGGTAACACACCCATGTACTCACTGAGACAGAATCACTCCAGCACGGAGAAACCAGCCCCTAAGTTCCCACTTAATCGCAAGAGAGAGTACTTATCTAGATGTGTTAAAAGCCAAATTTTCAAAAGGAAAGGTCAGAAGAAGAGGTGGTTGCAGGGTCTTCCAAGGATTGAACAAGTGCAGACCATAAAGGTGATCAGAGGAAAGAAACGGGGTAGGAAGCCTTTACACAAGCTGGAGCTCTCCTACCCTGATAATGTAGTATACCTTCCACCAGAGGAATCGACTGATGTTGGAGCAAAACCGGAAGTCAAAGAACAGGAAATGCCTAACGAGGATATCCGGTGTGAGAACAAAAGTGAACAAAAGGAGAGTGAACTTGACCGTCCAGGTGACACGAGCGTAATTGGTGGTAGCGGTCAGAGTGAACACACCCAAGAGGTATCCAGACTTTGTGATGGGACGTTGGACGATCAGCAGGCAGCTGAAGCTAACCCTGAGCTGGATGGTCCACTTATGGAGTCGGTAGAGAACTCAGTAGAACAGTTTCACTGCTACTGTCTTCAATTCGGACAAGATGAAAACGAGCAACCACAACCCCCAGAGCCGAATGCTTCTGGTGTGACTAACGGAGATCCAGAACAGAAGCCAGAAGTCCCAAAAACTCTGGTAAGTGTTTTGTTCATCCCAGCAGATATTAGGATGGTCAAGTGGTTTCCTTTTGGCAGGCTTACTCTTTCCTGGTGAACCCGTGGCAGAGTTTTAACTTCTGTCTTTATTTATTCAGGAAAAAGCCAAGACGACGTGGAGGGAACGAGTACTCCGCACCCAACAGTACAGAAACTGTGCATATTCCTGCAAGTTCTGCGATAAAACTTATAAGGGTATGAATGTCATGAGACATGCAATTGCTCATCTGAAGATGAGAAAACTCAAGTGTATTTTCTGTGGAAAACGCTTCAAAGTGCTTAATTTAGCCAAAAATCATGTGATGGAGCACATCGAGGAAATGTGCAAACAGACGCCCTGTGAGCCGAGCGTCAAGGAAGCGCCGCCTGCCAATGGAATTATGGGAAACGTGGAAAACGAGAGCCAGCCTCAGGATGAAAATCTGGTTTCTGTTTCTCAGAAGGAACCCAAACGCAAAAGTACAGTGTGCAGCCTCAGCAGAGAGGAACGAATCATTAAGAACACTCGCATCCTCTTTAGAAAGAGCTTCATGCCTCAGAAAAAAGGCCCCAGCCCAGAAACGCAAGTAAAGAAGCAGGTGGACTTTAAGGACGAGCAGGTGGTCATTACAAATGATCTGGTGATGGTTAAAAACGTAACGTTGCTACAGACAGAAGAAGAGGACAAGAACGTGCCAGCTGGAGAAAATGGCCAGGGTTTGGACCTGACCTATCACTTGTGTCCATCAGAAGCCTGTGATAAAGTATTTTTGAAGATTAGCAGTTCGCTGACAAGGCATGCCCTCAAATGCCACATCAATGAAGACCAAGTTCTGGAAAAGGCTTTTGTTTGGTCCAAGCACAAGTGCGTCTTTTGCACGAGGTAAAGAGCCCACCACACGTCTTACCTTCCATCTACTTCCTGTTAAAGCAGCTGTTGCATCTTTATTGCTACTCCTGAGACATAAAATAAACCCGTTTTGTTTGTTTTTCCTGACAGATTAACACAGTTCCTTCAGCAGTACAAGGAGCACATGATGCTTCACAGCGACCCTTTACCACACCTCTGCTACCATCTAGAGTGTAAACGGCGCTTCTCGACACAACAGGAATTAAAGGACCATATCCGTACTCACGATCCGTTAAGGCTCCAGTGTCAGTATTCCAACTGTGACAAACTTTTCTCTAATTTCCAAACTCTGTACGATCACGAATGGAGGCACTACATTCCCGTGCCACTGAAGGAAGAGCTAGACGTGGAACACAGTAAAGCTGTTCAGCCGAGTGAAGAGGCTCCTTGGAAGCAGAGAGTAAAGGTGGAGGAGCTTTGGCTTCAGAACAAGAAGGGCCAGAGGGAGAGTCCCACTCCTGGGATTCATGTAGATGGGAACGAAATGGCGGCTTGTGGGACTCAGACAACTGACCTTCGCACAAATGTGCCCGAACAGGACAGCTCAGCGGAAACGGTCAGTCATGAGCCCTTGAAAGACAAATCCACCATTAATGGATACGAGGAGATAATCCCAACTTCCCATGTGGATGGCAAATCTACTCCCAGTAAAAACCGTGGAAAACAGCCTCGGACGTTTTGCCCCATAAATGTCAAAGATGGCGATGAAATTTATACTTTGGTTGAGGGAGTCCATAAAAACATAGCAGAGCCCCACATCATCGAGCACAAAACCTTCAAGCCAGAAGATCCCGCTTATGCACGTTTTGTTAAAACGCCCTTCGTCCGACCGCCACCTAGCACTTATCTCGATGAATCTGTGCTGTCGATGCGGAAGAAGAGGTCCGCCGACAATGCGCCGCCTCAGAAATATGTATACAACCACTTTAAGAAGAAAAAGGATTCAGTAACTAAGAAGCAACCGGTCGTTGTAGACCCAGAGCCAAAGGTCAGACATCGCTGTGACAATTGTCTGACCTTGTTTTGCACTAAAGAAGAACTACAGAAGCATCAAGCACTTAACACCTGCTCCTCACTCTTTGGCTTTGATTCTGATGATGAAAGTTAGTTTGATTGATTCAGTTGTTTAAAATATAATGACAAATACTCTCTGACCTGTAGTTTTTTCGTGTGAAGTGGAGCTGCTGCTGGAGTTTTAAAACTCATTAGTGCCAAATTATCCAGTCGGTCAAACGCTGGGGTCGGGAGTGTGACGTCAACGAAAAGAGGAGTTGTTAAAATTTTAACAGCTACATCATGCATTCATTTTCCTTTTTAGATCTAACTTAAACTTTGATATTTAGCAATGTCAATGTGAATGCTGAGGTCACTGAGGTGGTTAAAAAGCTCCTCTGTGGCAAGGCTCCAGGGGTGGATGAGGTCCGCCGGGAGTTCCTTAAGGCTCTGGATGTTGTGGGGCGGTGTTGGCTGACGCGGCTCTGCAATATCGCTTGGACATCGGGGGCAGTCCCACTGGACTGGCAGACCGGGGTGGTGGTCCCCTTATTTAAAAAGGGGGTCGCAGGGTGTGTTCCAACTACAGGGGGATCACACTCCTGAGCCTTCCTGGTAAGGTCTATTCAGGGTTCTGGAGAGGAGGGTCCGTCGGATTGTTGAACCTCAGATTCAGGAGGAGCAATGTGGTTTTGGTCCTGGCCGTGGAACACTGGACCAGCTCTATACCCTTAGGGGGATCCTGGAGGGTGCGTGGGAATTTGCCCAACCAGTCCACATGTGTTTTGAGGATTTGGAGAAGGCGTTTGACCGCGTACCTCGGGGGACCCTGTGGGGGGTACTCCGGGAGTATGGGGTACCAGGCCCTCTGATACGGGCTGTTAGGTCCCTGTATGACCGGTGTCAGAGCTTGGTCCGCATTGCCGGCAGTAAGTCGGGCTCGTTCCCAGTGAGAGTTGGACTCCGCCAAGGCTGCCCTTTGTCACCGATTCTGTTCATAACCTTTATGGACAGGATTTCTAGGTGCAGCCAAGGTGAGGAGGGCATCCGTTTTGGTGGCCTGAGGATCAGGTCTCTGCTTTTTGCAGATGATGTGGTCCTGTTGGCTTCATCAGAACGTGATCTTCAGCTTTCGCTGGAGCGGTTCGCAGCCGAGTGTGAAGCAGCTGGGATGAGAATCAGCTCCTCTAAATCTGAGACCATGGTCTTGATTCGGAAAAGGGTAGAATGCCTTCTCCGGGTCAGGGATGAGGTCCTGCCCCAACTGGAGGAGTTTAAGTATCTCGGGGTCTTGTTCACGAGTGAGGGTATGAGGGATCGGGAGATCGACAGGCGGATTGGTTCGGCGTCTGCAGTGATGCGGGCGTTGTACCGGTCTGTCGTGGTGAAGAGAGAGCTGAGTCAGAAGGCGAAGCTCTCGATTTACCGGTGGATCTACGTTCCTACCCTCACCTATGGTCATGAGCTTTGGGTAGTGACCAAAAGAACGAGATCGCGGATACACGCGGCTGAAATGAGTTTTCTCCGCAGAGTGGCTGGGCTCTCCCTTAGAGATAGGGTGAGAAGCTCGGTCATTCGGGAGGTGCTCGGAGTAGACCCGCTGCTCCTCCACATCGAGAGGAGCCAGTTGAGGTGGCTCGGGCATCTGGTCCCTGGTGAGGTTTCCCGGGCACGTCCAACCGGGAGGAGACCTAAAGGTAGACCCAGGACACGGTGGAGGGACTATGTCTCTCACCTGGCCTGGGAACGCCTTGGGATTCCCCCGGAGGAGCTGGCCCAATTGGCTGGGGAGAGGGAAGTCTGGGCCTCTCACCTTAAGCTACTGCCTCCGTGACCTGACTCCGGATAAGCGGATGAAAATGGATGGATGAATGGAATTTGAATTGGCATTAATTATTTTGTGTAGGTTTTTCTTCCAAAGCCTAGTTTATACTTCTTGTTAACCAAGTTTGCACTCACGCACGCACATTGTCGGAGATGTTTTACTCCTTCTTTTGCATGTCGGTGTTGTGAAGCATTTCTCCACCAGGAGATGGACGTTGTGCTTTTCTGGGGTATCCTGCTATCATTAAAGTCACGTCTCTAGTGTTTGTGGAGCCCGAGTCTCCTCTCCTTCTGGTCGGCTCATGGATCCCCGAAACGACGAATGGGATTTTTCTAATTCACTTTGCCTTACACCCTAAATCACACAAACGTTGGACTTCAATTTAAATCAAAATAAATGATGTGAGGTTCAACTATGTTTATCCCGTACTTAGAGATTTATTAGCTTGTAAAAATTAGTTAATAAAATGACCACGAATCAGACGTTGCAGAATCTCTCTCGCTCGCTCGCTCGCTCACTCACCACATGGCCAGATCGTTTGCTTTGGTTCTCCAGGTTTTCATGCTCCCGTCATCCTGGAAGAAATATTGGAAGCTCGCTAAATTCAGAGCCGTTTTCTTTTCGTGTCTGGTTCGATGACGTGAATATGGTTCGATGAACATTTGTTGTCCTATTTGTCTTTTGACACAAAACTTAAAGAAACTTTCGACTCCATTTGAAAATAAGCGCCTTCTTGCATCAGAATGTGGCCTTAACATTCGTGGACATCATGTGTGAAGTCCATGGCACATGGCACATGGAATTAGAAAATAACTTTTATGGCCCCATTGACTTGCATTCATCTTTTCTCGTTTCCGGAGACCCGTGCTCCGGAAGTAGATGGGCGTGGCCCTTTTTAGGTTTAATGAATTTCAGAGACTTTAAAAAGCGCAAATTTGACCCTCATTCTCCTCCACCTCTCGTTCAGGCAGCACCTCCGTAATTTCCCGACACGAATTGAAAGTTTGCAGCGTGTCTTTGTACTCCATCAATCACGGTTGTATTAACGTCTCTATCGTTTGATTTTTTTTCCACGAGACATTCTACAATCTGCTCCGTGTCTGCACCTAGATATGTTCAACTGTCTTATGTTTTTAGAGGACGGCTGTGATGTTGACAAGGTTAAAGGAAGCGGCATCCTGAGCATTCACAAGCTTTCAGTCTCCGCTTTTGATGGATAGTTAGAAAAACAAGGCTCTGCTTCATCCGTCCTCGCGAACATGTTGAACCCTTGCAACCATGGATAAAGGGCATTTGGTGTCTGCGCACACAGAAGTATAAACTAAGCTTTAAGGCTGTTTTACGGCTTCCACAATCAACCTACACTATCGTAGTTGTAATGTTTGCCTCTCTGGAGGTGTGCAGACATGACTTGTCACTCTTCCTTATACAGTTGCAGCCCTGTGAGAATCAGCGGTGCAGAAGCAACGGTACACTGAGCTCAAAACGCTGTTGTAACTCTGTTTTACTGTTCGTGGGAAGAACAACTACATCACGTCATTAGAGCTGTAGCCAGAACATCCACAACATGTAAATCTGCATATCGGATGTGGAATTTCCGCACAGCGTTTAAAATATGCACGTTTTGATTGGTGCCAAGGCAGAATCTGGGTTTGCTTTCAAATCCATACAAGCTCATTCTAAAGACAAGCTAATGACTCAAATTAGCATTTCATCATAGGAAAATACCCTACTCTGACGCTTCTTTGAGTAAACATTTTTAAGTGCTTTTTCTGTCCTAAACTTTTTATTATGTTTTCATGAGACTGTGAAGTTTATATGTACAGGTGTGAAGTTTATATGTACAGGTGTGAATAGCTTGGTTTTGTACATCTAATGAAGATAATCGTATATTTTTCCTTGAAGAAAAAAAGTGATTAAACTTCCATCCATCCATCGTCTGAAACCGCTTTGTCCACGCAGGGTCGCGCGGGGGGGCTGGTGCCTATCTCCAGCGGTCAACGGGCAATCAGGCGGGGTACACCCTGGACAGAGAGCCAGTCCATCGCAGGGCAACACAGAGACACACAGGACAAACAATCATGCACACACACACACACACACACACCTGAGGACAATTTAGACAGTCCAATCAACCTAACAGTCATGTTTTTGGACTGTGGGAGGAAGCCGGAGAACCCGGAGAGAACCCACGCATGCACAGGGAGAACATGAAAACTCCATGCAGAAAGATTCCAGGCCGGAAAGCGAACCCAGGACCTTCTCGCTGCAAGGCAGCAGCTCTAAGCACTGATTAAACTTGTGTAAACAAACTAAAATAAGTGATTTTTGTTTTGTTGCATTATTCAACCTGAATAAAATAAGAATTTTTAAAAGTTTGTGGTCCTGAAGAGGAGCTTCTCTGAAGTAAACGAACAGACAGCTCAGCTGAATTAAATCACTAAAATGTGTGTTTAGAAGTTGGAAAGCAGCAAAAATGTAAATGAGTGATTATACTAGCCGAGATTTAATATCTTGCTGCAAAATTCTCTCAAGTGTGGAAACTAAATTTAAACTGATTATTTATTCACTGCTGCAGCTCATTTTAAAATTAAAAGCACCCTTTTTCACTAAACCTACCAAAAATGGTCTTTTTATTGCTTGATGTATGATAAAAAATAGGAATATGTAAATATAGGGCATAAATATCGCCTGAGAGGAAATGACACCACTTGGCCTGTAAAAAAAAAAGCAGACATCATTTTTTAGTATTGCATATTTACTCGTAAACACAGATTTTTGTTAACTCTTTGAATAAGTATTACAATTTTTATTAGAATTGTTACTAAAAGTTTTGCATACGATTTTCCTGATACAGTTGAGGTACAAATGAAAAACCTCTTTTTATGATCATTTTCACCACAAAGTGCTTCCCATGTTGTCCAGTTTTCACTCAAGGACACCAAAGAGTAGAAAATGATGTCATTTTAAGAACAACGTGTCATCTTCCTCAGCAATATTACATTTTTGCAGCTTATTAATGACAGATCTGCAAACTCCTCCTTTATAACCAAGCATTGCCGCTGCAGGCCTCTCCGGCCCCTCTTCATGCACACCAGACATCCTAAGACCAGTGTTTGGCTCTGGTGCTGCCGAGTTTAATAAAAACGTTATGAAATCATGCAACGCTGCCTTGGAAAGGTAAAAGTGCTTAAACATGCAGCATTTGTCGTTCTGATATTAAATAAGTGGAACTAATTTTAAATCTATGGTGAAAAAAAATCATCCTTAAAAAAAGAATAAAAAACTAAAGTTTTCTTAAACTTCTAGATTTAAATTAAAACCCACACCTAAGTGAGCTGAACAGCGTGTTACGGCAGGTGTGAGACGGAAAACGTTCACTTCAGCCAACATGATGAAATAATTGCATAAAGTTTGCTCATTATTGACATTTAGAACTACAACAAGCCTAAAACTTGGTGAACGAAGTACAAACATGTCAGCATACAAAGTTAGAATAGACATGCCAAGTGTCAGAGTTCATTCCAAAAACGTGGAGTTAATGTAACTCTGGTAAAAACGCAGCAAGAGCCCTTTAATAACGAGCATCGGAGGAAGACCTGGATTTAAAGCGCCTCGAGACCGGTATAAAAACTCTGAATAATCGATGCAACAGCACTGAAACACAAAGGAGAAGCTGCTCGCAGGTAAAGCAGAATTATGCATTTTGACATCTGGAGACTTTAAAACCTAAATCTGCAGCTCTTAAAAGACCAGATTCAGGAGTTTGTGGGGCTTTGAAATGGCTCGTCAAAGCAGGATTTAGCATAGCAGTTATCCTTCACTCCTGAGCTGCTGGAAAAAACAAGGAACCAGAGTCCAAAAGCATTAAAGGTCAGATGAACAAACATGCTACTGCTGACCTGTTGGAGAACAAAATGTTGGTTTGCAAATTTCCCCACAAACAGTTACCCCTTCTTTCCACTGGACATGAAAGCAGCATGTAACGTGTACGCGGCGGGCAACGTGAAAGCGGCGGGTAAGTAAGTGTGGCGTGTAATGTGTACGCGGCGGGCAACGTGAAAGTGGCATATGTAACGTGATAGCGCTGCGTGACATGAATGCATTGTTTTACCCACAAACTCATCTGAAACAATAGCCCAAACATTCCACGCCGCTGGTCCCGCATCACAGGAGAATTGCAACACCACACGTGAGTTTGACGTTTTGGAAGCATAGCACCTAAAACATAGACTTGAGATGTAATGATAGTGTCCCTTCACTTATGGGTCACGTCCAAAATGTTACACTTTACTGCCGAGGAAAGGAACCCGTCCACTAGAACGGCGGCAAATAGCCGTGCAGTACGTTTCGTGATGCTTTCACGTTCGGTGGAAAGAAGGGGTCAGCCTACGGTTAAAGTTTGATTCAGAGCTACGGTGCACAGCTCGTTTGGTTTGGAGTTCATCATCAACCCTCTCGATTCAGTCAAGAAGAGAACGTTTAGAGATCAATCAAACCACGCAGGCTCAGTGGGAGTTGTTGGAGCTCCAGTCATAAGAAAGGAAGGTGACTTTAATCTTCCCAGAAGAAAGGACGCCCCGCAGCCTGGCCTTCTTCTCAGAGTCTCCCATGTGATCCAGCACCCACTTCAGCACCTGTAAGAGAAGGTAAGAAAGCATCATCTGCCATAAACAGCCAGACGTAAAAGGTGCCAAGTCTACCTTCTCATCGGTGCCTCCGAAGTCAGACTTGTACCACTTGAATATCTGACTCAGTCTCACTTCTCCCTTCTCAGAATCCACCAGGCAGCCGCCGTCGTTCTCCAGGAAGGCCTCGGCTGCTGCGCGGAGCTGGATGTCGATATCCTGAAAGAGTTCAGAGTAGCAAACTCATCGTTTTCCTGTTGTTGTTTAAACCGGATCACAGATGAGTCCACCTACCTGTGGAGTGTATATTTTAATAGGTGGGCTGCTGTTTGCACCACAGTTCAAGGCAAAGTGAATGAGGGGCTCAGCATCAGGAAGTGCCACCTTGTGGTCAACAAAGAAGGGACATGTCATTTTAACAGTAGTGGGGTTATAAAGGAACAGGGACTCATGGTTCCTTAAAAATACAGTTTAGTGGTTTTTATAGCCAATGAAGGAGTGAATGCCAATGAAGGAGTGAATGTGAACACCTGAAGACGTGGATCTGACTTGGAGAAGGGCCTTCGCAGCTGAGCCACACCCCTCCTGTTCCCTCTCAGGACACCGTTTTCAATGTCCTGCAAAGTGAAAACTTCTCCTCCAATAAAGTAACTCACGTAGTTGAAGAACTACAAAAAACAAACAAACGTGACGTTTACATTCATGCGACTAAAGTGTTTCATTCACTTAATTCAGTAAATCTGCTGTGATCTCTGGTGCACTGGGAGAAGGTTTCTGTTTCAGGAAGTAGAGGTTAGCTGCAAGAGCAGGAGGCAAATAGGAGATGAGCTAACTCGTTAATATTCCTGATAGGAAGATGTATAGCCTCTGATTGGCTAACAGCAATGCAACTCTTCCACTGCCTCCCTTCACTCGTCCCCGGTTAAAAAAAATGCACCTTTGATGGTTTGTCTCCACTGTCACGAGCTGGAAAAAGTTCTGCCATTTTGTACAGTTGCTAATGCTAACGGTTAGCTTCTATTACCAGCAGAGATGTGCTCTGCTCTCTCCTTCCTGTGGGCGGCTCCAAACCAAGGTGGGCGGAGCCATGAATGCTAATTTTCCTGGTGATGTAGAAGAGACTGGCTTTTCTGACCCAGTCGTTTTCAGTCTGCTTCCTTCCTGCAGCTGATGGGGGAGATGGGGTTGGAGAAACTGTTCCCCTTAAGCATGCATGGGCTCAAAAAGAACACATTTTACATGATTTCCCAGTGAAAAAGACCTTTTAACATAAAAGATGATAATTTATGCTTGTAACTGGAGTTAATTTATATCTGAACACTAAAGGAGCTTTTTCCTGACTAAGGAAGTCCTACTCTGTATCTCTGCCACAGGTTGGTGGGGGCTCCCAGGCGTAGGAACCCATGGATGACTAAGGCATTGTAGATGTTGATGAAGAAGGCCAGCTTCTCGTCACGGCTCAGTGACAGCAGCTCCACCCTTTGCAGCTGAACGGCGAGCTCACAGTAACGTGCAAACCCAGGGTTCACACACATCCCACTGTAGTCCACAGACTGTAGGAGCAAAAACAACAGCAATCAGAAAAGTTCACTCCATTAGAGTCAGGCTCAGAAAACAGCCGTCGTGTCACCTTGCCGTCATCAGAAAGATGCTCCGAGAACAGTTTCAGAGTAATCTCTCGTAGAAGCAAAGAGAGCTCAGCAGCTGGGAGGAGAGGGAGCACAGGGATGAACATATCCAGTAGGTGTTCCTATCATCCATCCATCCATTATCTGGATGGGGAATAACAGGAAGTGAACTTGCTGAAACCTTTTCTCCTGTGCAGGTGCCTCTCTGCAGACACCGGGAGCTTAATTATCACAGATACTGTAATGAGCTGCAGTGCAGCGGTCTGGTGCTGCTGAGACATCCAGTGTGTCGGGTTTCCTGTATCACCTGTCTGTGTGTTGATCACACACCTCTAAAAACGCACTTGCACACACCTCATCCATCAGCACTTTCCCGTAATCACTCAGATTTAGGCTCTTTTGCAGCTCACCTCCATCAGCTGCTCTGCCCACATCCACTGATAGATTCCTGTCTGGAAGCGGCGGGGCTTCTGCTGGAGGAGGTCGCTCCAGTGAGAGTTGGTCTTTGACCAGGGTCACCAGCCTCTCAAGCTCCTCAGGAGCCTGAGATGAAAAACACAGCTGGGCAATTCTAATTCAGGGACTAAACATGAACAACGTCACCGCAGTCGCTTTAGTTTCCTGTCTCACCAGTTCCAGGAGGTCATCCCCCCCACCAACGTAGACGTGGTTAAAAAAGATCTGAGGTACGGTGCTGTGTCCCGTCAGCTCTGTTAGCATCCCCCTGAGCTTTGAATGAGCGCCGACGTCCACGTCACATACGGGCACCCCCAAGCCCTTGAGGGTGGCCTTAGCTTGCACACAGCGTGGGCAGCCCTGGATAGAGTACACCGTTACCCGGCCAAGAGCACTGCTCTTAAACTCGCCCATCTGCAACAAGAGGGAGAGATGCTCAGGTCAACCATGGCCTCAAACATTTAATTATCGCTTTATTGCCATCTTTTAACTGGCTCCAGGCGTTGATTTCACCTTAATGAGAGAAAATTTATCTTCATATGCATTTATATAAGTCATAGTCTTACAGTCGTGGCATATCTGACAGAAGTCAGAGCTGATTTTTACATTCTGCACCAGGGAAAGTCCTCCTGGAGGGTGGTTTACTTGACTGGATTCATGATACAGATCCAAAATCACGTGCACGGTACATAATTATTAATGTTTGCTGATTTGTGTAGGATGTGTGGCAGTCTCTCTCTCTCTCTCTTCCTATTGTGTCACTTTGTAAGTCCCTTTCTAGTCAGCTGTTTAATAAATATTCTTAAAATGTTAATATAATCTTGAAATAAAACAAAATAAAGACATTCCAATGTAATAAACGTGTCAAATTTGCATTATGCTTTATTAGTATGACATTTATTTTAAACCAAAATTATTTGTAGACAAGGTAATGTAAACAAAATGTTTCACAATATTAATAATTTTAGAAAAACGAGATGGACTTATACCTTTCAGGGTTGGGTGGTTGACGCGGAAGTGCAATATAAAAATAGCTTATAAATAAATGAGCACCTTTAATTAAAACATACTAATGGAATGGTAGGCGTGACGTAAACCAAAAGATCATTTGCAGGTGAACCGACGAGCTGCCCCGGTGGTGCATCGCACCTGCAGAAGCTGCTAGCTAGCGAGCTCTGCTATGATGCCTTCACGTGCTCCGCGCAAACTAAGCTTTCGTTCCGTTTCTGTCATTCCAGCATCAATATGCACAACTATTTGTCATTAAACAGATTGTCGTGATTTGAAACAATCAACTTAAGTTGAAGTGTCTTTTTGTGACAAGCAACAACAACAAATATCAGAAAATTATCTCTTCCAAGGAAGCAAACGAGCAAACAATTCAACTAATTTTTCAATTTTCAAATTAATTTATTGCCGTTTTTCCAGTTTAACGTAAAACTGTATAGTTTTGAAAACTGTACGTGGTATCATTTTTAAATTGTAAGGGAAAGAAAAAAGAAGCAAGAGAGCTTAAAATTCCGACAATTCTAAAGTAAGTAGAAGCTCTGGAATGCTGCGTTCGCTGAACTCGGCGTTTGGAGTGTCTAACCGTAATAAAATATACCGAGAACATTCTAACTGGAACTTATTGACCTTATATCTTTTAAACAAGCATATTAAGATAATACTGTTCAGAAATAGTATGAACACAAGATAAATTAATACGATATTTGTCGCTGAATTGTGTCATTGTATTTGTAGCTTTTCGAGGACGAATTTGACTTTGAAACTTGTTTCCGCACGGAACGATTTCTAGTCGAACACAACAAAGGAAACCTCTGGGGTTTGAGATCTTTGAGAAAATGCCAGGCCTATCGAAAACAGAGACTGTTGGATTAAAAAAGATATTAAACTCAATGACTGCTGAGGACTTAATGTCACTTAGTGACACGGTCACAAATAAGTTGATAGTTGTGGAAAACGTCTGTGGTAAGTTTATTTTTTCCACTATTGTGCAGTTAGCGCTAAGGGAGTTAGCTAACAAACTGCCACGATACATTATGTTAGCATGTCCAAGTATGTTACTGAAACCCACAAAATTTCTGATGTGTCAAAAATTTAAGCTTTTTAATTAATGTCGTGTCTTTGCAGAGGCAACGGAAACGATTCTTTCATTTTCAAAAAATGCCGAAGAACTCCTCAGAAGGAGGAAGGTTCAGCGTGATCTGATTTTCAAATATCTGGTGAAGGAAGGAGTGACGATGTCTCCGAACAGTGAAAAGCACCAACTGGTGAAGCGGGCGCTAGAACTGTGGTCACCAGTAAAGGTAGGGACCGGAAGTCTAGTGGGCTGGCTTGTTGCCATGGTTTCACGCAGAGCCATAGGCAGAAAACGAAAGCTTTGTAAGAACAGATGAACAGAAATCAATTGTGTGACTGAGTTTCTTCCTCTGTTCTGGCGGAGAAGGAGACCCTGCAGCAGCCGGCGACATCTGATTCCACTGGTGTGAAAGTCGAGGTGAACTTTGACCCGCTGGTCCTGGGCCAGCAGTTCTGTCAGTGGTTCTTCCAGCTCCTGAACAGTCAGAACCCTTCACTGGGCCACCAGCCACTACAATGGGGACCACAGCATTTCTGGCCAGATGTGAAACTCCGCCTCCTCTCTAGGTAACAGAGAACCACCTGTGAGAGCAAAGTCAAGTTTAGATTACAGACAAATTAAACTCTGTTGTGTTTTTCAGAACTAACGTTGAAGAGATGGAGGAGTTCACTGGTGCTGAACTGGTCAGCCTTCGTCTCTTGGCGTTGACTGGTGGGGAGCGCCTCCACTTCAGTCCCAACCTGGAGCCTCATGGCATTAAGGCTTTGGCCTCCCCGCATGGCCTGGTGCTGGTGGGTGTGGCTGGGACAATCCACAGGGACTCATCTTGTCTCGGCATCTTTGAGCAAACGTTTGGACTTATTCGCTCGCCGCTAGATGAAAACAGCTGGAAGGTGAAGTTCATCAACCTTAAAATCAAAGGACAGGACGCTCTGGGAGGGTCGGAGGTCGCAGCACCCTCTCTGAGCTACAACTCTACTGAATTGCAGCTTTATTGCAGCTGATGATCAAGATGATGAAATTGTTTTTCTAAGTAATTATTCAGGGTTGGTTTTGTGATTGAGAGTGAAACATTACTTATCTTAGCTGCACCCAAAAATATGCTAGAGGGCTGATTTTGGATTAGTACCGGTACACCGTTGCATCTCGGGACACTTTGTTTAAAACTTATTTTCTTTGCAGCTCTGTAAACAATTAAAATATATTTCTGTAAAATATGTTTTTATGCCTAATGTAAGATACTTTGGATGATGTCACTAAAACACTTGTGTAAATATGTAAAATACACAGATATGAGTAAGGCTTGTGTACACTTGAACTCTCGTTACAGCTGGTTCTCTCAGACTTATATAATCTTTTTTAACAATGAAAAGTTTAAATACTAAAGCTTTTATAACGTAATCTTTTTGGTGCTCCTCCTCCTACTCAGGAGGAGCAATGTGGTTTTGGTCCTGGCCGTGGAACACTGGACCAGCTCTAGACCCTTAGGGGGATCCTGGAGGGTGCGTGGGAATTTGCCCAACCAGTCTACGTGTGTTTTGTGGATTTGGAGAAGGCGTTTGACCTCGGGGGGCCCTGTGGGGGGTACTCCGGGAGTATGGGGTACCAGGCCCTCTGATACGGGCTGTTAGGTCCCTGTATGACCGGTGTCAGAGCTTGGTCCGCATTGCCGGCAGTAAGTCGGGCTCGTTCCCAGTGAGAGTTGGACTCCGCCAAGGTTGCCCTTTGTCACCGATTCTGTTCATAACCTTTATGGACAGGATTTCTAGATGCAGCCAAGGTGAGGAGGGCATCCGTTTTGGTGGCCTGAGGATCAGGTCTCTGCTTTTTGCAGATGATGTGGTCCTGTTGGCTTCATCAGAACGTGATCTTCAGCTTTCGCTGGAGCGGTTCGCAGCCGAGTGTGAAGCAGCTGGGATGAGAATCAGCTCCTCTAAATCTGAGACCATGGTCTTGATTCGGAAAAGGGTAGAATGCCTTCTCCGGGTCAGGGATGAGGTCCTGCCCCAAGTGGAGGAGTTTAAGTATCTCGGGGTCTTGTTCATGAGTGAGGGAAAACTGGAGCAGGAGATCAGTAGGTGGATTGGTGCTGCATCTGCAGTGATGCGGGCGTTGTACCGGTCTGTCGTGGTGAAGAGAGAGCTGAGTCAGAAGGCGAAGCTCTCGATTTACCGGTCGATCTACGTTCCTACCCTCACCTATGGTCATGAGCTTTGGGTAGTGACCGAAAGAACGAGATCGCGGATACAAGCGGCTGAAATGAGTTTTCTCCGTCTGGGAGGGGCTCGGAGTAGACCCGATGCTTCTCCACATCGAGAGGGGCCAGTTGAGGTGGCTCGGGCATCTGGTCAGGACGCCTCCCTGGTGAGGTTTTCCAGGCACGTCCAACCGGGAGGAGACCTAAAGGTAGACCCAGAACACGCTGGAGGGACTATGTCTCTCACCTGGCCAGGGAACGCCTTGGGATTTCCCCAGAGAAGCTGGCCCAAGTGGCTGGGGAGAGGGAAGTCTGGGCCTCTCCCCCCGCGACCCGACTCCGGATAAGCGGATGAAAATGGATGGATGGATAGATTTTGGTGCTTTTGCTGTATGAATAAAGGTCATTATAAAGCCCAGAAGCAATAATTAATCTGTATTGTGATTTATTTTGTGAAATCAGTTTAAAAACAGAATTTATTCATTTTAAAGTTGCTTTCTTGTGTTAGATTTCACCACCAACCACAGAAAAGTTTGGTTGTAATGTCTCCAGCTCGCCGCCAGGGGGAGACAGTCGCCCGGCAGAAGTCATAGATCAAAGTCAGATTAATCCTGCTTTTGGCGCTTTATAGTCATGCTAACGACTTCAGCTAGCGTGTCTCTTCTAGCTAGCTTATTTCCTCTACACCACCGTCGTTTAAAACTATTCTATTTGGAAAGTCGTGTCTTTTTAAGGTGCGTTGTGTTGAATTGGGTCTTTCAGTGGTTTAAGAACAACTCTGAGGACTTAATTTAGATTATTTTATGTTTTATGAAGACACCTGGGACTGAAAATGAGAAACAGGTATATGCGGGGCGAACTGTGGTAGCCGGGCACGTCCGGAGGTATGTAGGTGCATCACACAGGTAACGCTGCGTGTCTGTGGAGGGGTGGCCACGTGGTTTTTAACGCTTTGCTGCACCTTGGCAGAAAGGTATTTACCTTTTAACATCTTCTGGACATCTAGTTTCTCATGAACCAGCTCAGCTTTTGTATAAAACCCAGAAGTCCGTAGAAAGAAATATCAAAATCTTGCTTTTCATTTGCCTTTTCCCTTAGAAGTCACCACAGCAACCTTCTGAGCTTCATGTCCTCTTTCATCCATAAACTTCCTCCTTCTCCAGCCTGGTGGCTCTAACCTCAGCTTCCTACAGCAGACTACGGGTAAGTCTCTACAAGATCCTTCCCTTTTAGCCAGTGGTTTTTTTAAATGGCTAAACTCCCATTAAACATCAAAATTGGAGGTACTGTTTCTTTATGCCCAGTAGAGCACACTGTGGTACCGCCCCCTTTGGGTTTTTTGTTTCACTATTCTGGCACAGGTGTGCAGTACCTGACCGGTTAAGAAAAAGTTTGCTGTTTTGTTTGTTTGCACTGATGGCTGAAACACTGATGGCTGAAACACTGATGGCTGAAACGCTGATGGCTGAAACACTGATGGCTGAAACACTGATGGCTGAAACACTGATGACTGAAACACTGATGGCTGAAACACTGATGGCTGAAATACAGTGAAACTTTGGATCTCTAATAATATTGCAGCGGTCTGCGCCGCCCTTTAGCGGGGTGTGTGTGAAGCAGCAAAGAAGAGTCGACAGGTGGCAGACATGAAACACTTTTTTGTTTGTTTGCACTGATGGCTGAAACACTGATGGCTGAAACACTGATGGTTGAAACACTGATGGCTGAAACACTGATGGTTGAAACACTGATGGCTGAAACACTGATGGCTGAAACACTGATGGCTGAAACACTGATGGCTGAAACACTGATGACTGAAACACTGATGACTGAAACACTGATGGCTGAAACACTGATGGCTGAAACACTGATGGCTGAAACACTGATGGCTGAAACACTGATGGCTGAAACACTGATGGCTGAAACACTGATGACTGAAACACTGATGGCTGAAACACTGATGGCTGAAACACTGATGGCTGAAACACTGATGACTGAAACACTGATGGCTGAAACACTGATGGCTGAAATACAGTGAAACTTTGGATCTCTAATAATATTGCAGCGGTCTGCGCTGCCTCTAGCGGGGTGTGTGTGAAGCAGCAAAGAAGAGTCGACAGGTGGCAGACATGAAACACTTTTTTGTTTGTTTGCACTGATGGCTGAAACACTGATGGCTGAAACACTGATGGTTGAAACACTGATGGCTGAAACACTGATGACTGAAACACTGATGGCTGAAACACTGATGGCTGAAACACTGATGACTGAAACACTGATGACTGAAACACTGATGACTGAAACACTGATGGCTGAAACACTGATGGCTGAAACACTGATGGCTGAAACACTGATGGCTGAAACACTGATGACTGAAACACTGATGGCTGAAACACTGATGGCTGAAACACTGATGGCTGAAACACTGATGGCTGAAACACAGATGGCTGAAACACTGATGACTGAAACACTGATGGCTGAAACACTGATGACTGAAACACTGATGGCTGAAATACAGTGAAACTTTGGATCTCTAATAATATTGCAGCGGTCTGCGCCGCCTCTAGCGGGGTGTGTGTGAAGCAGCAAAGAAGAGTCGACAGGTGGCAGACATGAAACACTTTAATAGCCGGATGGCTCCCCTTTTCATCCCCCCACACTTACATTTAACTTACGGTGCCAACAGGCACCGGATAAGAACAACACAGCGTGAACTCCAAACTGAAACACCCAACACTAACATAACCCCCAACACAATAACCCTCAGAACACCACAAACTGAATAAACAACCCCAACTTACCCTCCCCCCAGAGTGCAATGCGGCCTTGCCGGCCTATCAGTGACAGGGCCGCCACAATATCAAGTGGTAAATTATTTTATTCTGTATTTTATATTTTGTTTAATTGATGCAAAATGAAAACATGTAAATGATTGTTCACTGCAGTGACACAGGCTGAAACTGCTTTTTGAAGTCTCTTCATTACAAACCATCACTAATTAGCACCCTTGGCAAGAGAAGCGAGGTATGAAGAAAATTTGTTTTGTTTATTGACCAACTGATCACTGATTATCCTGTCATGTATTGTATGTTTATTTGTGTGTTTTTTCAAGTTTTCACGGTGCATAACGATGCCTGAGTCTGTCGTGTGACAAACAGAAAGGGAATGAAAGGCTGGCACCCGTCAAGACTCTCTTTGTTTTATTTGGACAGTGGAGGGCAGCTAGAGTTGTGCTGATTTCTTTAATTCCCACTAAAGCCGCAGCCCTCGTTTTATTTATTTAGCACTTATCACAGACATAGAATCACAAAGTGCTTCACATAATCATGAAATCATAACTATCTTAAAACAGAAATAGATTAACATCAGAAAAACTAAAGTCATAAAATTATAACATTTTATAAACAGATGAAGGATTATAAATTTGAGTTAAAAATAAGAAAATAAAAGATTTATGTGAAAGCAGCTTTAGATAAATGGCTTTTCAGCTGTTTTTTTTAAGTCCTATAGTTGTGAGAAAACAAAACAAGTCCTGATATTCTGATTGAAATGGCGCCTACCTCCTGATTCAAGTTACAGGACTGGCTGAAATTTCCATCTTCGACGTGACTCCTCATTATTGGAGCCAACCAGAATTCCTCATTGATGCTCTTGAGTCATCCTGGCGAGGGCACGCCGGGTCTGATGAGGCGCAGTGTGCCAGTATGGCTGTGCGGCTTTTGTGGGAATTATTACATGTGGGAAATTATTCTTGGCAGGCCTTCTGAGAGGCCTCTGGGAGAGCTAATGTGTGCCCCCTTTGTGCTTCACTGTGCCATAGTTGTGGTGAAGAGTAACCACTGCAGCCATTGATCTCAGCCTGTTCACCTCTTCGAAAGAATAACAAGCTGCTCGCCTTCCCTCTTTATGGCACTTGGTTTCTGCTTTAATAAGTGGTTTGGGCACGGGTGCAGCTCTGACGCACTGGTGTGGCATCTGGTGATGGTTCTGTCTCCAGTCTCTAACAGGGAGTGAGTTTCTCATAAAGAAACATGCTAAAAACTTTTACTTGTGGCTTCTTGAAATAACTTGTGGGTGTTGAACCGTAGGAAGACCCTTTTTTAA